CCCTTCCTACTTCCCCCTAATGGGTCTGAAAAAGGCAGGAGGGGTATTTTCTCTATTCCCACCTTCCCCTGATGGTCCTGAAAACAGCAGGAGGGGGATTTTCTCCATCCCATCTCCCCCTGATGGATGTGAAAAAGGCAGGAGAGGGAGAACCATGAAAAAGGCAGGAGAGGGATTTTCCCCTTCCCACCTTCCCCTGATGGTCCTGAACAGGCAGGAGCGGGATATTACTCTTCCCGACTCCCCATGATGGTCCTGAAAAAGGCAGGAGGGGGATTTTCCCCTTCCCACCTTCCTCTGATGGGTCTGAAAGAGGCAGGAGGAGGATTTTCTCCATCCCAACCTTCCCTGATGGTCCTGAACATGCAGGAGAGGGGTTTTGCCCTTCCCACCTCCCCCTAATGGGTCTGAAAAAGGCAGGAGGGGGATTTTCTCCATCCCAACCTTCCCCTGATGGTCCTGAAGAGGCAGGAGAGGGGTTTTTCTCCATCCCAACCACTCTGTGATGATTCTGAAAAAGGCAGGAGGGGAATTTTCTCCATCCCAACCTCCCCCTGATGGGTCTGAAAAAGACAGGAGGGAGATTTTTTTCCATCCCAACCTTCCCCTGATGGGCCTGAAAAAGGCAGGAGGGGGAGAACCCTGAGCAACGCAGGAGAGGGATTTTCCCCTTCCTACCTTCCCCTGATGGTCCTTAACAGGCAGGAGCGGGATATTCCTCTTCCCAACTCCCCATGATGGTCCTGAAAAAGACAGGAGAGGGATTTTCCCCTTTCCCACCTCCCTGATGGATGTAAAAAAGGCATAAGGGGGGATTTTCTCCATCCCAACCTTCCCCTGATGGATGTAAAAAAGGCAGGAGGGAGATTTTCCCCTTCCCACCTTCCTTTGATGGGTCTGAAAGAGGCAGGAGGGGGATTTTCTCCATCCCAACCACTCCATTCTGATTCTGAAAAAGGCAGGAGGGAGATTTTCCCCTTCCAACCTCCCCTGTTGGATGTAAAAAAGGCATAAGGGAGGATTTTCTCCATCCCAACCTTCCCCTGATGGTCCTTAAGAGGCAGGAGGGGGATTTTCTCCATCCCAACCATTCCATTCTGATTCTGAAAAAGGCAGGAGGGGGATTTTCCCCTTTCCACCTCCCCCTGCCTGCCCCAGGCATTGCCACCACCTCCCTTCTCCTGCTAAATTGGGGCTTTGCTCTGTGCTTGTTGAGGGATGTTTTGTGGCAAAAGAGTGATTTGAGGTATATTTTTCAGCCAAAGAGTGTTTTTGAGGACTGTTTTGTGGCAAAAGAGCGATTTTGAGTGATATTTTSTAGCAATGGAGKGGTTTTGAGRGATGTTTCGTGGCAAAGGAGTGATTTTGAGGGGTGTTTTGTGGYAAAAGAGYGATTTRGAGTGATATTTTGTGGAAAGGAGTGATTTTGAAGAGTATTTTGTGTCATTGGAGTGATTTTGAGGGGTGTTTTGTGGGAAAAGAGTGCTTTTGTGAAGTATTTTGTGTCATTGGACTGATTTTGAGGAGTATTTTGTGGCAAAGGAGTCATTTTGAGGGATATTTTGTGGCAAAAGAGTGATTTTGAGGGAAGTTTTGTGGCAAAGGATTGATTACAAGGGTTATTTTGTGGCAAAGGAGCGATTTTTGAGGGATATTTTGTTGCACAAGAGTGATTTTGATGAATCTTTTCTGGGAAAGAGTGATTATGAGGGATGTTCTGTGGCAAGGAGTGATTTGAGGGATTTTTTTGTGGCAAAGGAGTGATCTGAGAGATATCTTTTTGGGAAAAAAATTGATTTTGAGGGATATTTTTTCAGCAAAACAGTGATTTTGAGGGATATTTTGTGGCAAAAGAGTGATTTTGAGGAATATTTCTCAGAGAAAGAATGATTTTGAGCGATGTTTTGTGCCAGCAGATGCATTTTCAGTCTGTTCCAAATCCATCTGCAAAGGCTTGGGCTGATTTTTAGAGGCCAAATGAAAAGCAAGAGAGAAAAAAGCRAGGAGAGGTGTCTGGGGATCAACCAGGGCTGAACAGGGGTGAATTTGCTCTCTGTAAAATTCACWTTTTGATTGATTTTGCAGACTCATTTAAGATCCAGTACATGCAGTTCATGGCCTACATGAAAACTCCTCAGTACAAAGCAAACCTGCAACAGCTGCTGGAGCAGGAGAAGGTGAGTCTGACTTTTGAGCAATCCTAAAGAAAATTATCAGATTCTGGAGTTCCTTGAATGTGGGGAAAAATGCTGGAAACGGGAATTGTGGGCATTTACACCAGTGCTGCTTAGGCTGAAAATTCCCTGGGGATTTTATTGCAAACTCAGTTTTGGTGTGTTTGAATGTGCAAAATGAGAGCTGCACCTGCTCTGTGTCCCCCCTGACTCAGAATCACAGGATCCCCGGGTGGTTTGGGTTAGAAGGGACCTCAAAGCCCGCCCAGTGCCACCCCTGCCATGGCAGGGACACCTCCCACTGTCCCAGGCTGCTCCAAATTCCATCCAGCCTGGCCTTGGGCACTACCAGGGATGGGATCCCTCCCAAACCCAAACCAATTCCAGATTTTGTGAACCACAGTTCATAGGGATGAAGAAACCCAAACTGCCATCACTGATTTAGAGGACTTCATGCAGCATCCCTGGCACTGATAATCCCTGGTATTGATAATCCCTGGTGTTAATAATCCCTGGCACTGATAATCCCTGGCATTGATTGTCCCTGGCATTGATAATTTCTGGTATTGATAATCTCTAATATTGATATCCCTGGCACTGATAATCCCTGGCACTGATAATYCCTAGCATTGATAGTCCCTGGTATTGATGATCCTGGTATTGATGATCCCTGGCATTGATAATAGCTGGTATTGATAATCCTTGGTATTGATTATCCCTGTCATTGATAATTCCTGGCACTGATAATCCCTGGCATTGATAATTCCTGGTATTGATAATTCCTGATATTGATAATCCATGGCATTGATAATACCTAATATTGACAACCCYTGGCATTGATAAAATTGTGTCAGGTTTCTCAGGTGGGTAAAGAGTGAATGTCCCAATTTGGGGGTGGGATACAGGAAAGGCAAGGGCAGCCCTGGAGCTGTGCAGGGGTGTTTGTCTGTCCTGGAGCTGTGCAGGGGTGTTTGTCCTGGAGCTGTGCAGGGGTGTTTGTCTGTCCTGGAGCTGTGCAGGGGTGTTTGTCTGTCCTGGAGCTGTGCAGGGTGTTTGTCCTGGAGCTGTGCAGGGGTGTTTGTCTGTCCTGGAGCTGTGCAGGGGTGTTTGTCTGTCCTGGAGCTGTCAGCAGAGGAAGGAGATTTCCTGCCTGAGCACCTCCCTGTGCTGCTTTATCTCAGCTCTGAGTGATTGAATCGCTGCATCAGTCAGCTCTGATCAGAGGCTGTTCCTGCTGCTTCTGCCTGGCAACGCTCAGCAATGAACCTGAACTTCCAGTGAAGGTCTTTCTGTGCCTAAAGAGGCCCTGAAAGAGCTGGAGAGGGACTGGGGCCAAGGGCTGGAGGGACAGGACACAGGGAATGGCTTCCCAGTGCCAGAGGGCAGGGATGGATGGGATATTGGGAAGGAATTGTTCCCTGGGAGGGTGGGGAGGCCCTGGCACAGGGTGCCCAGAGCAGCTGTGGCTGCCCCTGGATCCCTGGCAGTGCCCAAGGCCAGGCTGGACATTGGGGCTGGGAGCAGCCTGGGACAGTGGGAGGTGTCCCTGCCATGGCAGGGGTGGCACTGGGTGGGCTTTGAGGTCCTTCCAACGCAAACCTTTCTGGAATTCTGTTCAGGTCCTGCTTTTGGCAGTCCCTGGGGAAGCTTTCCTGTGCTCTGTAGCCTTTGGGAGAGTGGCAGTGTAAAACCATTTTAAAGGGCTTTTTAATCGTGTTTTCCATATTAATCTGTCTCCAGAAGAGACAGATTAATGTGTGCCACCCTGTGTGCCATCCCATTCCTTACCGAGGGTGGTTGGTGTTGCTGTGGTGTTCATGGCAACCTCTTCTGCTGTGCTTGTTTCCATTTGCTTTCACACTCGATCAGCACTTTGAATTTTCATCTTTTTCCTTGAGCAGCAGATTTTTCTGCTGGTTCTGCACTCGTCAGGAAAGTCAGCACCAAATGAATTTGCCTYGTGCACAGATGCAGTGATGGCGTGCAAGGCTTGTGCCCTGCACACAAAATGAATCCAGACTGTGGAAAAATCATCACYTGGTGGTGGTGTCCACATTGTTAAACATTTAAGTGAGGAATTCAGTATGAAAATATTTTTTAATGGAGTGTTATATGGCAAATTCAGCCTGACAGAGGCAGAGCTCTGAGGGGCTGGGTATGGTCTGTTCAAGAACTGCCTCTTACAGGAGGGTTTTCAGTATCCTAAATATGATAAAAACCTCTCTGTAATAACCATTTTGAAATCAGCTGCTGCTTCCCTGAGTGCCCTTAGATGGAGCTCACAGCCTCTGCAGAGCCTGGGGAGGCTGAATGAAAAGTCTCATGTGGAAAACARAAATGATTTTCCAGCATCACCCAGAGCAGCCCCTTTAGCATTGCAGGCACTGTTTTCCCTGTGTGTTCCTTCCTTCACATGGGGAATTGCTGCTTCCCTGCTTGGAAATCAATCCTGGACTCACAGAACTATTAAAATGGAAAAGATCAAAGTGCTTTTTGCCCTTGTTCCCCACTTTTCCTGGAGCACTGGCTCAGGGCGTGCTCAATCCCCGCGTGGCCTCGGCAGCACGAGTTGGAGAAGGGGATAATCCCAAAGCTGCTCTAATCCTGTAGCTGGGGCTGGGGAAATGAGGCTCTTGAGCCATCCTGCCCTGCCCTTTGCTGGGATCTGCTYTGGGCAGGGAAATGCTGGGAGYGGGTCGGGTGACCYGCTGGTGGCACAAGTAGGAAAACCTGTTTGGCTCATTTAGGATTTTTTTTCCTGCCTCCCCCTCAGTGTATTTTCATTTACTGCATCTCTTCCATAGGTATTGGCCAGGGAAACTCTGCTCTGGGACTCTGGGGATTTAGAGCCAGTTCCCAGCTTGGGAGCAGATTTCATGCAGATAATCTTTTCCAGTTCTATTTCTGCTCCGTAGGATGTGATTATTGCTGCTGCTTCACAATGCACTGGGAGGATAAAAACGAGTTTTTCAAGGCTGCCTTGAATGCATTTTACCATACAGGAGGAAAAATTTACTTTAAAGTTTTTTTTAGCTGGTTTAACCCCATCAGTGTCGCAGCCACCAAAGACAGGCTGCCAGGAGTCTGGGACAGCATTTTCCCCAAAGCTCAGGGGAAGATTTGTTTGCTCCACAAACAGGGTGTGAAATCCTCCTCAACACTGCCCATGCTGCAGCTGGTGCTCAAAATGTGTTTTCTGCCTGTTCCCTCTTGCAGGAGAAGAATGCTCAGCTCCTGGGGACRGCTCAGCAGTTATTCACCCACTGCCAGGCCCAGAAAGAGGAAATCAAGAGGCTCTTCCAGCAGAAGCTCGATGAGGTACCCATGTGCTGGGGGATCCTTCTGGGATGGTTTTGGTCAGGCTGAGTGAGGCCAGAGCAGCCTCASGTGTTCAGGTTTTTGCTCTGAGAACTCTGAGAATCTTGCAGAGGTTCAGGGAGGTGGGAGCTGTGCCCCTCCTTGGTTCTGTTCTGTGTTTGGTGTTGGCATCGCTGTGTGCCCGATGCCCGGGGAAGGGCATAGACCAGGCAGAGCAGAGCCACGTGGTGTTTGCTGAAGAATTCAATCCCTGCTGCTCAAAAAAACTCTGCTTTACCAATTKCAGGAGGAAATATGGGGGCTCTCCACTCACAGTCCCTTTGGCTGTAAAACCCAAATGCCACTTTTACGATGCCATTGGTGGAGCAGCAGCTCCAAGGTCCTCATGTCCTTCCCTGTCCCYGCCATCAGTGACAAAGTGCCTTGGAGAATGCTGGGGATGGTCCTGAGCTCTGCAGATCTGCTCAGGGTCACTTGGGAATGACAYAATCCCTGCCATGAGGGTGCCAGGACCTTTCTGACTGATCCCTTCTCACCCTTCCCTCGCAGTTGGGAGTTAAAGCTCTGACCTACAACGACCTGATCCAGGCCCAGAAGGAAATCTCTGCTCACAACCAGCAGCTGAAAGAACAGACAAAACAGCTGGAGAAGGACAACAGTGAACTCAGGAACCAGAGCTTGCAGCTGGTGGGTCCAGCCCTGGGCTGGGGACAGGGGGTGCTGCCCTTTGGGTGAGGACAGGGCA